TAATATTTTCATGTTTGCAGCGCTTACGTAGTGGTAATATTTAAAGTTTCTTGAGAGACTAGCCAATGTGTAATTAAGAAGGCCATTAATATTGTAGAATACAGAGCCGTTACTATGTAGCGACCACGAAACAAACAGGTTCCTACGGCAACCTGTGCAAGCACAACAATAGAGGAACTGTTGGTAACGGCATGTTCTACGCGGTTCGTACGGAGATATTGTAACCGAGGCAAGTTAGTCACTTGTACGTCAGTCTGGAGGTTAGTGTGAGATGGTCGCCAGTCTGGGAGTTAGTAATTTGGAGCAAGAATTTAGAATCGTGGAATACTAGCCAGCTGGCAGGGAAATGAGCGCGGAAGCTGAAAATCTCCACTGTTAAAATCGTTGCCAGGAAACGACTAGTGGAGACTGTAACAACCTGAGAACATTAATGTGTGTGTGTGTGTAACAGTGATTTGTAAAAAGTTGAGATTGGAGATGACACTATAATTACTATTACTTACTAGTCGTGTGTTTAATCGCGCAGTAAATCAGATTTCCAATAATAATAATAATATGACTTATAAGAATATTTAATGCTCTATAAATAACTAAGTGCCTACAAATAGAGGGAAGTCTGCTGAGGTTTGAGTGCAGGGTTATAGTGATAGAGGTGCATCGTATTGTGACCAGTAACAACCTGGAAACAAACATTGCTCACTTGATCTCTTTATGTGACGTAATTTATCAGTGTTTGGTGAACCGTTGTTGGTTCGTCGCTTGTTATGTTTGTGTCCAGCACACCAACATTACCGTGTTCCCTCGCCACAAAGAACAGCTCTCATTTATCTAGCCGCATGCTTGGGAACAGCCAGCGAGGATTAACAGGATCGTTGCCATGGAAACACACCCCGTTCTGTTCATACATTTCACTATCGTACATTATCCCCGAGGCCACACTACATATCACATTCCGAATTTTGTGATCTACAGTTCGTCGCGTTAAGAACATTCAAAGAAATTAATGAAATTAATATTGGTTTCTTTATATCTGCGCACCGAAATTCACTGTCCTTCTAACTTGTCCACTGATTTCTATTGCATTATGTAAAGGAGAAACTCTGCAAGTCCACTTTCATATTACTTAGATATTGTCGCGTGTTTGAGTGACTACGACGCGGGTTTGGATTGGTTTATTGCATCTCCACTAGTTGTAAATACAAACAGTTCTAACACATTCAACATTACTGTAATTATAATACAAAAACTTTAAGTTCACACGTTAAGTCTACGAACTTCCCGTGGCTGTCTCCTACCGAGAACCGAACTGAACTCAAATCAAAGTCAAAGTCACATTGCGACTGACGTGCAGTCAGTCAGTCAGCCAGTCTTGGTGTCGAGACCCATCTGGGTCTCGTGACCAGATATTTATTAGTGTTTGACAGTTACGATCTTGTTTTTTTATTTTGCACCCTTTCTGAGGAGAGGACGCGTCTATCTTTTGTCAAAGTCATTATCTGCAGTAGTAAGCCACTTGCCGTAATGTAAGGGATATTTACAGTTTACATGTTAAACAAGTTAATAAGGTATACACAGTATATACAGGGCCTCTGTCAGTCCAGGCTCAGTACAGCAGATTTTGCCATATTTCTGGTAGCTTCCGCTACAACAGCAGTTTAGTCACTTGAACGGTCGTATGCAGGACCGCCACCAAGTTTAAGCCTCTTATACTTTCTATGTCGGGCTTCGCCTTGACCAATATTGCGAACATTCTTATTATCATGTTTCTGTATGACTTCTGCTTGTTGCCTGCATAATTTTGTTATATAGTCATATACATACGGAAATGTGAAAGCCCTGTGTAAATCGCGAACCGGTGTGCGCCTTGGAAAATTCTCGTGTTATTGCCGTTATATAGCCTCCCCTCGGACCACTCACAGAAAACCCAGTTCTATTGTTGCATTAGAAAGACGACACAGAGAACAAATCACGTGATTCCTAACCAGCGTCTTCATTGATGCGCTGTTGCCTAGCAACGCGCAATAATATTCCTCTGGTGAGACATATCTTCTATTGTTGCCTTGTGTGTATTCTGTAGCGGGATGTTTAACGGTCCGTTACCTAACAACGCCCTGGCCATCCATGTTATAATATACATACATATATATATATCTTGTGACGTATTTGCGCTATGCAGGACACCCCCTCCCCCGCCAGCGGTGACGTAAGAGCATTGGAGCGCTGCCCCTGCTACGGTAACAGGCCAGTTAACACTCCGCCCCTTACCCTGCGGTGACGTAACAGCACTTCCCACTGTGACGTAATACGGGACACGGCTGTTGACACAGGCAACAGGGAACGGTATAAAAAGCCGGCTGAGCAGTATGTGAAGAGTGTGTGATTAGGAATGACACAGTGTGGATCGTGAAGACGCCGAGTGCAGCGGAAATAATTCTGATACTACCGATGCCAGTAATTGTGTAATTGTGAATTGTATGATTGTAAGAGCGAATGTGTAGTAAATTCGCTAGATCCAGAACGGCGTGACATACACCCAACACGTGACTATATATATTCATTTTTGTTACTTTACTTCTGTGGAGAACTTGTTGCTCAAATACAGATTATATCTCGTTATATCTCAGATATACACGTAAACTCAAATATTCATATTGTCGCCATGTTTCTGCCTGCTGACTTACAAACAACTTCCCATACACAATATGAAAATATGTCTTCATGCCAAATTTCACATGCCTAGTTTCAATGGCCCGGTAGTTATCATCACCAGACTGGAAGGTAAATAAAACTTTCGCGTTGTCGCCATGTTGTTATTTTTGTCTTGCTAAAGGTTAATATTTTGCTGAGATATATTAGTGTCCACCGTTTCAGGGCTCTCATAGGCCTAAGTGTTTGTCATTAAATTAATTTCAGTTAACCCTACAAATGCCAAGTGCCGAAAATTTCAACCTTAAAAAATTAACTTATCTAGCAGCATATGACATCTGTTGGTCTTTATATGGACTACATCGTCAAGGAATGTATTTGGAGTGGACTTTTCCCCCTTCACCCCAAAAATTTTAGTTTCTACAGAGTTCTATACTATATTACGCATCCAAGAAGGAACAGTATTTGTGACAACATAAAATTGCGGGTTGGCGATGCTGGAAGAGCACCTGGCATTAGTACTGTTAAAATCGGTCAGCAATAATGGACACATGAAGACCTACACGCGTTTCTGCGAACATCTGGTGCAGTAAGTCGCTGAATAATTATCGGAGCGGAAAATGTTTGGAACAGATGTTGTAGAGAAGAATGTGACGCACATTTGTCAGCAAGTTTTGCGGCTTTCGATATAAGCAAATTAAAATCACCTAACATATCAGAACCGTTGCACTGTGCTCACATTTCCAGGCTGAGTTCGCGACTCTGTCACGAGAGCGTCTGCAGAAGAGAATTGTCCACACTTCTGACAGAGTAGGACAATGAAAACGGCACCCATTTGAGGACGTTTCGTACACGCACCAGTGGTCACCATAATTATCACTTACTTTAACACCCAGAAATCCAGCATTCTGCCCATAGAGTGTATTTGTGTGTTCCGTGTGTTTCTCACAATAAACAGCGACTGTTTCCCCAAACAGCATTAGCCGGTTGGGCTTTGTAGCGGAGACGTAATATGTCTCCTGTGAGGTACGGACTGGATTCTTATATATTACTTGGAAGTGTATTTGTGTGTTCCGTATGGTTCTCACAATAAACAGCGACAGTTTCCTTAAATAGCATTAACCGGTTGGACTTTGTAGCGGAGACGTAATGTGTTTCCTGTGAAGTACGGACTGAGTACTTGTATATTATTTCGAAGTGTATCTGTGTGTTCCGTATGGTTCTCACGATAAACAGCAATTGATATGCCAACGAGCATTAACCTGTTTGTCTTCGTATCGGAGACACATTGTGTTTCCTGTGAGGTACGCACTGAATTTTTGTATATTAATTAGAAGGATTTTGTGTCTTTACAGGTCTCCTCCTTACTTAACGCTGTTGAGTTCAAATTTAATCTTAATGAAAGGTAAAGTTGTCGTCGTACTTAATTAAGAACCATGCTATGTAGATGTGTGGGGAAATTCCTTGTATTCTTAACCTCAGCACCAGTTGGAGGTGAGTGATCGGCTTCACTCTTTCCCCACCTAGGAAAGAGAAACGGTACCCACTGAATAGGAGGCTGGGTGGGTCCCAGAACTCCTGTTCCTGTCGAGAAACGAACCCCGATTCCTTGGTCATCCAACCTCTAGCCTCATCACTATATTAGTTACCCCGGCTTGGCAATAATTTGAGTAAAATTGTTGAAGTTGTTCGTTTGCTTAACTAATTAAGCGCTACGCCATGAAAGCGTATTGGGGAGTGAAAGTATAAATCCACATTATTCTAATCTGGGCACTACCTGTAGGTGAGTGGTCAGTTTCACGCCCCTGCCGCTTTACCCCCCAGAGAAAGAACCCCCGGCAACCATTGGTTAGGAGCCGGTCTGGACGACATGGAGAAGTAATTTGAGTACTATTTACAAATTCAGTTCTTTCCTTACAGGAAACACGAGGCGCCTTCGTTACAAAACCGACAGATTAGAAGCTTTATGGTGTAGCCCATACACTTTACGGGGGCTCACAGTGCTGTGTTGTGGGATAGGAGGGTCAGTGAACACAATGTTTCTTTATATGCAATCTTTATTACATCATCCACACTCGAAGCAAGCCAAGGGACGTACAGTTTCAGAATACACAAATTTGAAATTAAATAAATTACAACACTAATACATAGTTCCTCTTTACAAAACCCACACGTACTAGGACAACACAGACACAGAGAAATGAAGACCTATTGCCATGACACTAGATGAATTCGAACCCAGGACTACAATGTTCGAAAAATTCAGTTCAATACACATCTTAGACTGGGATGGACAAATTAAATTAGCTGATGAATAAATATTTCAGTGGCTAAGGAAAATGATTTTACTAGGATTAGAAGCCGCGGTAAGCATGGCGGGGAATAGGAAGTACATCCTTGAGAGCGAAGGGCAGAAGCCCTGAGAAGCTGCCAGGTAAGAGAGAGGTGATTGGTTCGGGATAAATGCAATCCTCAATCACAGACAAAGGAGAAGATCCTGGAATGGGGAGTGATATTTCTGGGACGGGCTTCCCGAAAGGAATACGCCCAAAAGAAAGGGCAGGTACTGCAGTTTCTACTGGAAATGCCTGAGGAAGTGATTTCTCCAGAGGCAAGGTGAGTTCCACGCCGTAGGGCAAGGGATTACCAACGGGAAATTCAACGGGATAGGGTTCAGGGACTGGAACTTTCACTTCAACCGGGTAAGGGCGATCAACGGGTACCTGAACAGGGACGTAAACGGGTACTTGCACGGGTACCTCTACCGGATAGGGTTCAGGGACCTTCCTGTCAATGTACACAGGGTACGGCCGATCTACTGGGACCTCAACCCGGACAGGAACTTTCACTTCAACCGGGTAAGGACGTTCAACAGGGAATGGCACTTCAACTGGCACTTTTTCGACGACAGGGACAGGTCGGTCTACTACAACTGGATAAGGATGATCGACAGGAACTTCGATTTCGACGGGGTAAGGTTCAGGCACTCGAACTGGGACCTTGACAGGGTATGGCTGTGGCTGAGGGACAGGGAAAGGTACTTCTACAGGGTAGGGGTGGTCAACACGGACCGGAATTTCCACAGGGTATGGGCGGTCAACTGGGACCTTCACTTCAACCGGGAAAGGTTCAGGGACAGGGATTTCCTGAAACACGGGATAGGGTCTGTCAACTGGCACAGGGAACTTGACACCGACTGGGTAAGGTTCTGGGACCTCGATAGTTTCGGTGATGATCTGAGGAAATTTCTGTTGCGGGTAGAACCCGCCCAGTCGTTCACCGATGAGTCCAAATCCTGAGCCAAAGCCGTGGTAGGGTCCAGCGAACTCAGCGGCGCCGGTGACTAGTTGAGGAATTTCCTTTCGGAAGCTGTCCCAGGCGAACCCATGGCCATGAACTGGCAGACCCCTTTTCGCGAGGCTGCTGTCTGTGGTTGCAGAAACTGCATCCGGGACCGAGTCAGGAAGCGGGCTCTCCGGTCTCCCATTGGCCCGCGCAACGGCAGCCACAGATATGGCGAGAAAACACAACTGTGAAAAAGCAGAAAGTTACAAAACACGACTGTACATTTCGGACGCTCCCGTCCAGGTTGTGACACCATGCAGTGTTTCAGAGAACGTTCCTATTGGGCCGGATGTGCACTGCTTCCTTATATCTTCCAGGTATGAGTTACCACCTCGCTTATATAGTGCCTATGTTGACCAATGAACTCCTCGCGCCACATATTTCAGCCCTGAAGATGGAGGCAGTATGTTTCTCAGAAATGTTGATGTTCACAACCCAGAAGGCAGGAATCTGAACCCTGTGTTCTGGCTCATTTCTACCCTGAATATGGTGGTACCATGTTCCTCCGAAACGTCGGTGACCATCTACCAGACTACAGAGAGCAAAAGAGACGACAACACTAGTGTTCACCTCAGATCTGATCTGGATGTTCGTCTGTTTCATGTTGCTGCTGTGAAATTTGGCACTGGCCACGCCATGAGGATAACTGAGGGAACTGAGGAATAGCTCCACGCTTTCTTAATCCTGGCATAGATTGAGGTGATTGGTCTGATTCACGCAACGGGTTCTTAACCCCCTCCTCCCAAGGAATAAAACCCCCTGAACTCATTGGCTATGAGGTTTGCCGGGTCCCAGGGCTTCTCTCTGCACCGTGGGGAAGCGAACCCCGATTCCTCGGCCGTTCAGGCCATAGCCTAGTCAGTATACAGTCTGAGCTACCCCGGCTCCTCCTCCTCCCCTACTTCTGTCACTACAATTGCTACCACATCCACTGCTAGTAAAGTCCATCCACGCTACGAATTTGAGCACCCAGTGCTCTGGGTAGGCAACTTTACGTAAATACGTTTGAGTTTCGGCCGCAGAGCACGTAGGAAGTATACTCTCTGCCACCTGCTTGCTACATGATTTTACGTTAGATACTTTCTTGGCTTTCTCTTGCATCCTGGAGGTTTAGGCGAAATGTTTCTCCGAAACCTCGGTTTACTTACAACGGACTACACGGCGTTATGTTTTCATAACCACTACTGCGAGAAATTCAAATCCTAGCAGAATCCAGTAACATTCTAATGATGACATAACGACTACGTCACTAAATGGTGATGACGCACATTCGTTCCCACAGCAGGTTCTGCTTCCTACAGCATGAAGTTACAAAGACGCAGACAAATTGCTGTGTAGGGGAATTCCATTGAATTCGGTTAGAATTATATTAAGTCTGCGATTTTACTGGATATGATACCGCGTGCTTTGACAGATAGTACTTATGTACCAGACTACACGGTCTCAGACGATAGTGATAGATCCACCAGTGACCCCACAACCCTAAGCCTAACACTCATTAAATTTCTTTATAAAAGAGTCAGTGTTTTGCGTATTATATGATATATAACATTTTAAAGAATAATGGTAAATATGTGTACCACTTGCTTTAAAATGCTAACACTCTGCATTCTGCCCACACAGCGTATTTGTTTGTTCCGTATGGTTCTCATAATAAACAGCGACTGTTTCCCCAAAGAGCATCAACCGGATGGACTTTGTAGCGGAGACGTAATGTGTTTCCTGTGGGGTACGAACTGCCAGCCGGAGTATGGCCCTAGTGTTGACTCAACCTCTAACAGAAATGAGCACCAGGAGAAATCTTCCTGGGGGTAAAGGGAGTCAGGCGCATAAGGCTGATAATCTCACTGCCATTTGTGAACCGATTGTCTACAAAATGTGGGAACCTCGACATCTCACACACTTATGGGCCTCCACGGCTTGTTACAGGTTGAGCTTTACCTTTTACTTTTTTACAGTTAACCAGAAATTCAAAATTCAGTGGCCCTTGTCTACACAGCTTCCCAGAACTTACCATCTAACCCGAATGAACATTAACTGATGGATACCCAGGCTACTGAGCACTGCTTAGGTTCTGCATAAATTCCACGCTCGGTACTGACGTACGGGCCTTACTCTTGGTATATCCCCCCTATTTGTTGTCTCTTTCTTTAATGCTTCGAAGTGTTAGTGATATGAACATGACAAATACTGCACTAAGTGCTGAAAGAATTTTGTATTTTAATAAGAATATGAACCTTAAGGGTGTGCTAAATTAATGTTATAAACTGTGATTTACGGTTGCTGCTTACCAGAGTCCTCATGTTGTAGAAAGCAATGGAAAGCTCTCAGTGGATATGATGATAGTTGAACCGAGACTGCCCTGCTTTTATACTGAAATATCGGTCTCGTCTTCAATGACATTCCCTCATAATGACCTGGTAAAAGGTAAATGTAACATTAGTTTACAATTCTTCCATATGGACGTGTCTTTCAACTGCAAACAAACAAGCAAAGCAAGCAAGGCTAATGCGGCTGCAAAACAAAACAGCCACGTGCCAGTAAGTCAGGTGTGGAGGGCGGACATTCCAGAGCGCACGGCGAGTCAAAACAAGCAGGAGCTTCTGTAAACTTCTGTGGTGTGAAGGCAGGAACACTTTTTCCTGTCTACAATGACCTCTCCTTATGTTTACAGGCATTTAAAGAACCTATCTTAGAAGTTACCTTTGTAGCACGAATCTATTCTTAATGATATTTAGACACTAAATTCGTACCTCACAGGAAACACATTACGTCTCAGCTACAAAGCCCAACCGGTTAATGCTGTTTGGGGAAACAGTCACCCTATTGTGAGAACCACATGGAACATATAGATCCTTGCGCAGGGGCCATGCTAATCTTCTCTGTATCGTTCCTACTTCAACGCCACAAAGCCCAACCAGATAATGCTGTTTGGGGAAACAGTCGCTGTTTATTTTGAGAACCATACGGAACACACAGATACAGAGAGAGAGAAGAAGTGGTGGTGGTAGTGAGAGACACTACATTGGGGGGGGGAAGAAACTATATCTCCGATTTTGAATTGCTCTAGTACCGAGGAAAACCACGGAAAACCTTGGTCGAGCTGGCCGCTCTCAGGACCTTCCGGATGCAAACTGACTTCTAGCCAGCAGTCCGGCTTAAATACGCGAACCCTAACATTAGACCCTGTCTGTCCTGTTGCTTTATTTTAAAAGTTTACATATGTGTTTCTACAGTTTTCCCAAATAATATGTAAGAATTCAGTTCGTACCTCACAGGAAACACATTACGTCTCCGCGACAGAACCCAACCGATTAATGCTGTTTGGGGAAACAGTCGCTGTTTATTGTAAGAACCATACGGAACACACAGATACACTTCCAAATAATATATAAGAATTCAGTTCGTACCTCACAGGAAACACGTTACGTCTCGTTAACAAAACCCAGCCGGTTAAAGCTGTTTGGGGAAACGGTAGCTGTTTATTTTGAAAGCCATATGGCATATATAAATGCATCGTGTGCACCGATCGGATGGGTGTAGAGACTTCAATTCGGGAGGTGCTCAGTTCAAATCTCTGTTCGGATACCAGCTATTTGATTGAGGTATTTCCTAGTTTTCCACAGTCCACCTAGTCAAATTCCGGGATAATATTACATCGATTAGAACACGACCGATCCCTTCCGGGTCATTCCATGTGAAGTCATCCAGATAGGTCGCTCGACCATTTCTAAAAATAGTTATATTTTATTCACTTATTTCTACAAATTTTCATATTTCAAAAATATTTTTTTATTTTTTCTTAATCCGCTCGGATATCTCGGTACAGCCGTTTTTATAATGAGAAAATACGCGTCTTCGACTGAAATGGAAGTTTGTGTTATCTTCTATATCTCGATAACTATTGTCGCTAGAGACTCCAATAAAAAACCAAATTGTTCCTCATGATATGGACTACAATTAGTCTCTTAGCAAGGTTTTACTCAATTCACTTCCTCTGGGTCTATTTAAGCTTGAAACTTACCTATTGATTTGGGGGAGGGGGAAAGTATCAGACCTGTGGTTTCTACCCTTTGTTGTTTCCTGCATGGGGAATATAATCACATACTTTTGAACCTCGTATCATTTTTCCAACATTTTTCAGAAGCGAGCGTTTATAACGTGTCATTCCGAGCAGTCAGTACAGGCCTGTGCTTACTGCTTTGAATGACAAAAGATAAATCTCTCGTCTTTTATACCTAATAAAAACCACTAAAACAATTTGATGCAGGTAAGCCAATTATTGAGGTATTGATTTTTTTGGTAAAATTCAAAATGCCCACAACTTCTATTAGAAGGATATCAAAGTTGTAATTTTAACAGCAAGCTACTCTAGAATAGAGCATTATTTGATATGAATTTCAAAATTTTCGGAGCTTCCCACCGGAGATATGAGATGTTAAATATGACTGATTTTGGGTCCAGAGCAAAGTTTGGAAGCTCCTGGAGAGTTTTGAAAAATAAATATGTGGTTCAAATCTACGTGATTATATTCCCCTTGTAGGCAACAACAAAGGGTGGAAACCACAGATCGCCCCTCCCATTGGTTTCTGAAGGTCAAAAATAGTTTTTTTTTCCCCAAATCAATAGGTAAGCCTCAAGCTTAATTAGACCCAGAGAAAGTGAGTTGAGCAAAACCTTGCTATGAGCTTAATTGTAGTTCATATCATGAGGAACAATTTAGTTCTTTATTGGAGTCTCTAGCATCAATAGTTATCGAGATATAGAAAATAACACAAACCTCCCTTTCAGCCGAAAACGCGTTTTTTCGCATTATAAAAACGGCTGAACCGGGAGAGCCGAACGGATTACATTTTTTNNAAGTACACTGTGTGGACTAAATGCAAAGAATTTGTGATATCAAAGCTTGTGGTACGTATACTAACCACTAACTAACTCCATGCAGCTGAGCCCATCTTGAGAAGCCAAAAGTCTCGCATCTACTCAACAATTTACGAAAATTCTGTGGAACCTGAAGGTTCGTTATCGTGTTCACAAGAGCCCTCCACTGCTCCTTGTTTTGAGGTTGGTCAATAAAGTTCATACCACCCCACCAGCTCTCTCTCTCGGGCCCATCTTAATATTATCCTCCCACCTAAGTCTTGGTCTTCCTAGTTGTCTCTTTCCTTCCATGTTTCCAACCGAAATCCTATGGGCAGTACTCATCTCCCCTATTCGTGCTACATGCCCTGCCCAACTCATCCTCGTTGATTTGATCATTCTAATTATACTTGGAGAAGGGTACAAGTTATGAAGCTCCTCATTATGCAGTTTTCTCCAGCCTCCTGTCACTTCAGCCCTCTTCGGTCCAGATATTCTCAACACCCTGTTCTCAAACACCCTCAGTCTATGTTCCTCCCTTAATGTAAGAGACAAAGTTTTACACCCATACAGAACCACAGGCAAAATTATAGCTTTGTATATTCTAATTTTTATGTTTTTGGACAACAGACGAGAAGACAAAAGGTTCTGGACTGAATGGTAACAAGCATTTCCTCCTGAATCAGGTTTTGACTTGTTATCGTCGTTCCCAAATATCTGAACTGTGCCACATTTTCAAAACACCTGTTTTCTACCTTTATGTCATGATTTTGCCCTGCAGTCTGTTGATGAGACAGCAACATATACTTAGTCTTCTCTGTGTTTACTTCTGGACCAACCTCTTTACTTGCGTCAATTCAAGTTTGTGTGTTTTTCTTTATGGTATCTACATTATCTACAATAGATCTGCACCTACGTACACCAGCCACTGAGCTTGAAAGGGTTAACATTTTCCTGACTCTCTGAGATATGTGGTTCTCATGGCATTAATTATGAAGCCTACTGTTTCATTGGATACGACGCCGTGTAGTCTGGTATATCCTTACGAACATGTTCCTACCCTGTATACGGAGGCAGCATCTTTCTCCGAAATGGCAGTAAAGGTGTACTAGAATTCGTGGCATCACAACCTTCATACCGAAGAGGCTATTAGTTCAAAATAGCTATGCGTCTCGGACAGTGAGATGGGTAGGCCATAAAAGAAAAGGTAAAGTTGTCCCTGTAACAGGCTGTTGAGGCCCATAGGATTGTGAGACGTCGAGGCGCCCACATTTTCTAGACAATCAGCCCAGAGTTGGCGTGAGGTTTTCAGCCTTACGCGCCGGCCGTCGTTTACCCCCAGCAAGATCCCTGGTACTCATTTCTGTTACAGGTTGAGTCGACTCCAGGACAATAGTGCGGCTGAAAGGTTTAGGTCAATTGAAAAACCAAATGACGTCATGGGGGATCGAATCTGCGACTTTGCTTCTAGTAGCATAGTGCCTCAAGGAACTACGCTTCCGTCTATAAAATATGGGAGCCTCGTCGTCTCACAAGCCAACGGGCCTCCAAGACCTGTTACAGAGTTGGGTAGGACAAGCAGTGCCCATAAGAGAAACAGGAAATGCACATGAAGATATGGGCTGCTGAACATTCTTGTTTAACAAGGGGAGTAGCATTCTTGGCTAATTTAGCGACTAACAGCTCCTCAGCTATTTTAATCCTTGCAGGTGCTTACTGGAACCCTGACAGAAGAAGCCATTTGGAAGGCCTAGGCTTTTGATAAGAGGATAATATTGAAATGAATCATAAGGAAACATCCGTGTGCCTGAGTGTATGGAACTGTGCCGGACTCAACTAGAGACCGCAAATTCATATCTGCGGTATTCGTGATTTTTCTCACTTTCTCCCGGCAGATATTGCAATAATCACCTAACTTATCCCACGACCGCCTCCTTCCAAATCCTGTCCAATCCACTATTCACTAATTATCTTACCGTTCGACAGTAGACCCATGTAGCATGAATGACTGACAGCGTCTTTAAACGAACAACAAATAAATAGGCGCAAGACATAGACTTAGATGAGATGATAATATTAAAATGAACTTAAATAATTAATGTATAAAATTTTGGGTTGAAGTCATCTGGCTCAGCACAGAAACTAGTGGCATGCTCTTGTGAACACGATAATGAACCTTCTGGGAAATCATATGAGCAGCTGAGCGACTATTAGATTATGAAGGCGGAGTCACCGAACCGCTTGGCATAGAGATAACTCTCTATAATTGTATTTAGGACGCATGCGGTTCGAATCCCAGAACGGATATCGGCTATATTGTCTGAGGCCTTTTGTGGTATTCCTTCGGGACCAGTTCCGGTGTAGTACTGAATTCGGTCACGACCACTTCCCTCAGAATTCATTCCATGTCATAATTCGTCCATCGCTCTACCAGCTGAAGCTA